TTTGTTTTAGTATTTTGAAGTTGACCAATTGTTACTATAAGCAATTAATGATTATAGATGATCTGCACCGTAGATGTGAGGAGCGTGGGAAGTTAGTTAAGAAATTAGGTGAGGAAAGCGGAGTGTGTGGGAAGTTTGAGGAGAAATTTGTTTAATGAAGTTTTATTTTTTTGTGACGAAATGAACATTCGATAAACAAACTTTCGACAAAATGGGTGTCGACAAAATGAATCAGTTCCATATTCCATATTTATGGTTAGTTTACTTGTTCGTAATTCCACAACAAATGCATTAAAACACTGGAAATCAATGTTATAATATAATGATAAAATTTTTTGGCAAGAATATGAAATATTCAATATGAGATTTTTGGCATTATGTTTAAATCTCTTCAGATTGCTAGGAAATGAAAGATGTTGCATTAAAGGAGCTTCTTCAAGGTGCTAAATTTTCCCATGAATTTCCAGAAGTTATAGTGTTCCTTCCAATTTCAATAGAAGTGGTTCATTTATTAAATCAATATCCCAAAAACAATAAAGATGATGAGGAGGATGAGTGTATGGAGGATGATTAAGAAGTCAAAGATGATTATCCTAAAAATGAATACATGGAAATAGATATTCAAAGCCAGACCAAAGATGTTGATTCTGGTTTAGATGAATTTTTGGATATTTACAAATTTAAACATAAAGTTGGCCCACAGAATACAAATAAAGTTTATGTTAATGCAGCAGGTGCTGTTTGATATGGATTTGCATTTAATAATATTCAATTTAATAATAGTAAGCAAAGAACATTGATTTTGTGTGTAGAGTCAAAAAGTGGGATGATCACAGCTATAAATTCACTGAAGCTCAATTCTGCTATTTTAAAAACTGAATATAAAAGGTATGACTTTGATCTTATAGTTTTATTGACTCATTTTCAACTTAATAATAAATCATTGTATCTTAAAAGGTTTGATACGGTATCAAACATTCCTACAGATAAGTTGTTCTGTTAATTTTATCAAATACTAAATCAAAAAATGCAGAGATAAAATCATGCAAGAACATTGCATTGGTTGATGGTTACAATTTTAAAGAGTTTTATGGTTATACATATGCAGATCGGGAAGAATTTATAGCATGTATGTTTATTGATCCTACCTTTCCATTTTGATAGTAATTATAACAAAAATCAAAAAATTATTTAACAAATGAATGAATAAACGGAAGTGAACATCTAAATTTATTTAAAGAGTAAAACATAAAAGTAATATCCAAATGATAATTTAAAAAACAATAGAAAATTTTTTTAAAAGAAATATCAATTATATATATCTACCTATTACTATTATAATAATAATAATAGCTATATTAAATATTATTTGTTAAAAATTTCAAGTATATATATATAACATCTAAAATTAAATATTTGCATTCTATATAAAATCTTTGAAGAGAAAAATATGTTATTAATTATTACAAATAAAAAATATATTTATAAAAAAAAATCTATAAATATATTATTATCATCATCATCATCATCATCATCATCATCATTACTATTGTCAATTATTCATTCCCATTCTTTTCTCTTTCTTTAACCCCATGCTGCAGTTGTACAATAATTTACTATAAGCTGTCTTCCATCAGTGCTAAAACACTAAGAAGATTATTGGGAAAAAAATGATTAAATCATCAAAATTCAAAATTTATAAATCCTTAAAATCATCTATCTACTTACCTTAAATAAATTCGCAACAATCTCATCAGGAGCTGGTGAAAATGCACTATTTATATATACAAACTTATTTACATGTAAAGTAATGATTAATTAGTTTTTTTTTCCCCTATTTTTTTTTTTTAAATTTAAAAAATAAAAATCAACTCATACCAAAGGATCCGAAGTCTTGTAATTTAATTCTTTTCTTAAGAATTTAATCACAGCTTGAAACTTGTTTGCAGCATTTATTTTATAATTTAATTGTTTTAGTATTGGTGCATTACCTATTGCTCTAAATCGTATTACAACTATTTTGAATTAAAATATAATAGATTTGGGGAGTTTTCTTTGAGTAAAAATAAAAAAAAAGGATCAACTCATTCTAGACTTAGATTTATATACCTTTTGAAGAATCAGGTTTTTTAAATTTTTCTAATGCTGCTGTTGGATTTTGAGCAACTAAGGTAGTGGTAGTAATAGTTGTTGCTTTGACTGGTTCAACAAATGCTGTTGTAATTGTTGTTGATGTAGTTGTTGTTGTTGCAGTGAGTGTGGTGGAATTAGTTGGATTGTTTTGATCAGTAGTTGTAGTTGCCATAGATGATAAAAATAAAGAATATATAATTATCTGTGAATTTATTATATTTTTTTTTAATTTTATATTGATATACTTGTCATTTGATAATCACCAAGAGTTTCTAAATCGGTGCATCAGACAGAAACAATTACGTATGTGCGTGTGTTCAAACAATGAATTTGTGTAACTTGTAGCATTAAAATTTTTAGATCTGGTTTTAATAAATTCCCAACTGAAAAAGGAAAAAATATGTCTGCACAAAATGCCGCGTCAAAAGAGTCTACAACCATCACGCAACTTTTCGCTGAAGTAGAACGTTCAGTTAAAAAAGAAGATTATGTAAAAGTTCTTAAAACTGTTAATAAAAGTAATGATTTTTTTTTTAAACATCGAATTCAAAATTTTTTATTTTTTCCATCTAATTCACCTTTTAAAAATAGTTCTTCAGTTGAGTCCCGATGATAAAGACGCACTTCAATGTAAAATTGTTGCATTGATTAGACTTGGCAAATATCAAAATACATTAGACCTTTTAACAAAAGATTTTCCTGATGAGCAATTTTTATCACAAAAGATTTTTTGTCATTACAGACTAAATCAATTCAAAGAGATCTCTGAACAATTGCAAAACTATAATAAACCTTCGGGAAATGCTGATCTTCTCTTGAGACATTTAGAAGCTCAAGTGGTTAGCAATTTTGATATCATTGTTGAATATAAGTGTGTTATGGTTGTAATTATTAAATCACGGATTAATAACTATTAATTGTATAAATAGGCATATAAAATTGAAGATTACACCACGTCATTAGAACTTTATTATAATTTATTAAAAGAAACAGACAAAGTTGGCCATCATTGAATATTTATTATTATTATTATTATTATGATCTAGCAAAGAAATGTTAATTAATTTAACTAATTAATATAATAATATTTTTAGAAAGAGGATACTTATAATGACATTCTAACAAATTTCAATGCAGTAAAAGCAGCTTTATTGTTTTCTGGAGGAAGTTTGCTTGAAAAGGTTTTTTTTTTAATTTTTTGCTTGAAAAAAAAAAACAGAGAAATTAACATTTAATTAATCTCTTTTTTTCGATTAATATTAGTATGCTGTTGTAGATTCATCAACCACATACGAATTGGCTTATAATTCAGCATGTATTTATATAGGACTAAAAAATTTGGGAAAAGCCGAAAAATTATTAAAATTATCTCAAAGTATACTATATTTCTTATTATTAGTTAATATTTAACATAATTTCATATGTTTGCACAAATATTTACTATTTTGAATAGAACTTTGTAGACAATATTTTCAGGAAGAAGAATTAAGTCAACAAGAAATAGAAAAGGAATTGGCCACAATCAATGTACAATTAGCTTATGTATATCAGCTTCAAGGCAGAGTTTCAGATGCTATTGAACTTTATCAATATGTATTAAAATTCAGGCAAGTTAACAATTCATTATAATTTAAAATTTTCTACATACAAATTTCCTATGCTCAACAATTTAAAATTTATTAAAATTTATTGATTTTAGAGATACAGATGTGATAGTAACAGCTATCGCATCAAATAATTTGGTGGCAGCAAAGAAAGACACCGAGTTATTTGATTCTGCAAAAAAATTACGTGTTGCCAATGCAAAACCATTGGAAACTAAATTATTTAGAATACAGAAACGTACAATAGCAATGAATGAATCATTACTAGCATTATACATGCATAAGGTTTATTATTTATTCATTTTGTTTTGAGGGAAAGCAAGTTATATTTTGTCAATTAAATTAATCATTTACATATTATATATTAATATATTCATATAGTATGCAGCTTGTCAAGATTCTGTTCGCAAACTATTACAAATTTATCCCGAGAATGATTACTTGTACTTAATTTTGGTTGCTACATCATATTTACAAAAGAAAACTTCAAAAGCAATCCAAGAATTACAAGAATGCGTCAAAACTCGGCCTACTTCTCTACCAATCAATTTTGCGTTAATACAATTGCAACTTTTGCAATCAAACACCGCCGGAGCTTTAGAATCTTTTTCCAATTTTTTAGCTTCGATCAACGATAACACTGAAAAAAATAAACCCGGTTATGTAGGTTTATTGGTCTGGCTTTACGAGAATGCTGGTTCACCGCAAAAAGCAATTCAAGCGTTGGAGGAAGCTGGTGAATTTTGGAAAAGTAGCGTTGGTTCTAGCGAAGAAAGTGCATCGATTCTTAAACAGACCGCATCCTTTAAACTTAAAATTGGTAAATATCGCGAAGCAGCTCAGGATTTCGAACAATTGGTCAAGGCTGATCCAACCGATACCCAATCAATAGCAGGATTGGTTGCTGCATACTCGCAATATGATGTGGCTTTGGCAGAGAAATACGAAAGTTCTTTACCGGATGTTATCACATCTTCAACAATGGATATTGATGTCGAGTCACTCGAGAAGGTTGTACCTGGTGTCAAAAAAAGTTACGTTAAAAAGATCGATGGCAATATATTATCGTCATCAACGACAAATAATAAACCAAAGAAGAAAAGGAAACGTAAGCCTCTGCTTCCTAAAAGTTATGATCCATCCATAAAACCAGATCCTGAACGTTGGTTACCAAAACATGAGAGATCCACTTACAGAGTAAAAGGTAAAAAGAAACTACAAATGATGAAAGGTTCACAAGGCGTTTCTGTAGGAATCGGTGGTATAGGCACTACTGGAAGCGCAAACATTGCAGGAAAACGGTTGTTATTATTATTTGATTATTATTGTGATATTTTTATCTATTAAACACAACAATTAATGACGTTTTATTATGAATAGCACCGGATCTTCTAAAGATGTTACTGACGGATCATCATCATCATCATCATCAATAGCAGCTGTTTCAACATCTATACCAGAACAGCAGCAGCAACAAACCCCTCAAAAACCAAAACCTGGTGGTGGTGATAATAAAAATAAAAAGAAGAAAAAGAAAGGTGGTAATAAATGGTGATCTATTTTTCCTCATTTAGGAAATTATAATCACCAATTTTCCTGGATAAAAAAATAAATATTTATTAACCAATTAATAAATAGTTTAGATAACAAATAATAAAGATATTTATTTTCTCAAAAAAAAACCCCCCTCCCGTCTTTTCTCATTAATATTCTCGCGGCTATTAATAAAAATGAATTAACAATTTTTTATATCAAAATTAATAAGTTGAGATTTATTTATTTATCAATTTATTAATTTTTCGTGGGCACCAGGAATGGACGGCAGCAACGCCCTCTTTTAGCAAATAAATAATATCATTATTATTACTTAAATTATCATCGATTATCAGGGAAGATGCACAAGATCTTGTGAAGGATAATGAAATCACTTGATTTAGTCACGACAAATTATATAAAGTGGTTTATAAATTGATAAGAAAAAGAGGCGAGAAGCGGCGAGCAAAAAGAACTGCGGAAAAAGAGTTGAAAACTTGATGTATTTAATCGTATTAGTTTTCCCAGCAAACCAAGCAGGATGCAAATATTCCGGCTAACTTGAGATCTCTACTTTAGATAAAGATGTATCTTTAAACTTGCCAAAGAATCTCTTGGGAGAGTCTACTGAAAAATAAAAAATATTGCAATCATTCTAAACATCCTTTCTCGAAAAAAGAATGCCGAATCACCAGAGCGTCTGAAATAGTAAATTCATGATAGCCAATGAATA